GAAGAAGAAGAAGAAGAAGAAGAAGAAGAAGAAGAAGAAGAAGAAGATCTGGTGCAGAGGGGTCAAACAAACTTGCTTATGGGAGTGAAAACAGGTGACTTGATATCTCCCATAAACAGCAGCCTCCAACATTTCAGAAACTCTCTGTCCTTGGGCAAGGATCTTGCAGATCAGAGGCATTTTTGTTTCATGGATCTCTTAGTCATAGTAATTAAAACTTAAAATGTAACTTTGGCTCTCACATTATAAGTGTTGGTTTGTCCTATAAGAGTAAAATTGTTCAACATTTGAGATCGTGTTTGTCACCCAATACACAATATATGCTCATTAGATGGTCACTGAATGACTATGAACCCTAGATACGCCTTTTGTCATTTTTACATGCTCAGGAGCTTTGAGAAGAAGCCATGTCGTCTTTAAGACATCTTACCAATTTCTGTATGTGTACACACCCATGCAGAGCTGGGGACTGAGTCTAGGGCCTCATGCCTACTAAACACATTCTCTACCTGTGGAATTTTAAACTGTACTACATTTGACACACAACACATACATTTTACACAGACAAAAGACCACTTGTCACATCCCTAAATCCCAGAGCTAGGGAAGTGGAAGCCGGAAGACCAAGGCCATCCTGAGCTACATAGCAAGTTTAAGCCTGACCTGCGATACCAGAGACCCTGTCTCAACAAGAAGCTGATTTACAACCCATTATTAGTAGGTTCTAAGATGGTCAGTATCAGTAGGTATCAGCAGGTACCAAGATGGTCAGTATCAGTAAGCATCAGTAGGTACTAAGATGGTCAGTATCAGTAAGCATCAGTAGGTACTAAGATGGTCAGTATCAGTAGGTATCAGCAGGTACTAAGATGGTCAGTATCAGCAAGCATCAGTAGGTACTAAGATGGTCAGTATCAGAAAGCATCAGTAGGTACTAAGATGTCCCTTACAACACTTTCCTCTTCCAGACCAGAAGCACACAACAGCAAGCATTGTAAGCATGTAACCTGACACTTGAGGGGAACGGGGAACCTTTTAAATCATACTTTGAGATTTGAAATAAGTTATAACCTCATTTTGTTATGTTTTGCTTCTCACTCCAGCCTCCTTCTCAACTCCACTCCAACAGCTTGGTGTGAAGTGACGACAACCAGGAAAACGTCCTCCTTTCTGAGAAACCCAACCAAGGTCCCCAGCAAATAAAAAAATCTGTGCAGAGAGATGGTTGGAAGTTTCCATAAGTTAGATTTTTTTTTTTAATTGTAGCAACTGTGACTTGAAAATCAGTCATAACTCACATGGCTTACAAATGACCACCTCTTGGAGGAAGAACAAAATTACCTTTCTCTAAGTAGATGTGCAATTGCCCAAGTCCTGTGGGTGCTTTGTGTGTCTGTAGCAAAATTCTGAGGGCTTCAGACGTAGCCCAGTCAGGAAAGTGACTGCCTGACATGCACAAATCCCTGGGTTCAATATCCACCCCTACATAAAACTGGCGTGGTGGTACTTGCCTGCAATTCCAGGACTCAAAAGGCAATCCTTAGCTACACAAAATTTAAGCCCAACCTGGGGTGCATGAGTACCTGTCAGAGAGGGGGTGTGTGTGTGACAGATGCGGTGCCTATTGTTGGTGTTCCCAGTGTTGTGCAGTCCTGGGACATCTGATGGCCGTGTGATTTTTTTGCCCCCCGTGCTACAGCTGTGCTCAGATGCCAGAACATGTGACTGAGACGCCATCGCTGACAGCAAATGACAAGCTTTAGAATCTTAGATTGATGATGAACTTCAAGGTCACTGTATGTCATGCTTAAACATTCTAGAAACAGCCCTAGCTATTAACATCCAGCGAGGTCAAGGATCTGCTTATTAAGTAGCACCATTGCGACCCAAGACACTTGGGTTCCTTAAGTGGCAGTTCCATCGGATTTATTCAGCCCTTTCTTTGCTTGTTTGCATTTGGTTTTGTGCCCGGATATTTTCTTTTCAAACACACAGGCTCCTGTGTACACCTGTGAATTCTTTGTTTGCTGTTTTTGTTTTTATGAGGCAAGGTCTAACTATGTAGCTCTGGCTAGCCTAGAGCATACTCTGTAGACCAGGCTGGTCTCAGAATCACAGAGATCTGCCTTCCTCTGTCTCCAGGGTTGTGGGAGTAAAGGCACGTACCACCACTTTTCGCTTCATCGGTACCTTCTCCATCACTGTGTCGGCTCAGGGGTCTGACTTCCAGCAACAAGCATCAACTCCTTAAGTAAACAAGAATTCCCTGGGAAGGAGGAAGGAAAAGACACTATGCTGGACCCAAGAAGGGCAGGCACTTGGATCTGGGTTTCAAGAGACAAAGCATACTGTTTTTGAGGGCTAGGGATATAGTTCAGTGGTAGATTACTTGCCAAGGATGCACAGGGACCTAAAAAAAAATCTTTTTTAAAAACGATTTATTATTTTATGTATATTGGTGTTCTGACTGCATGTATGTCTGTGTGAGGTGTCAGAGTCCTTGGAACTGGAATTACAGGCAGTTGTGAGCTGTTATGTGGGTGACTGGGAATTGAACCCAGGTCCCTTGGAAGAGCAGCCAGTGCTCATAACCACGGAGCCATCTCTTTTTGAGAACCATCATGTAATAAATTCCATTCTAACATTCCGATCAGTTTTAGAAACTGTGAATTCAAGCCAGGTGTGGTGGTACATGCCTTTAATTCCAACAATTGGGAGGCAGCAGTCAACCTGGTCTATAAGAGTTAGTGCCAAGGCAGGCTCCAAAGCCACATGTAGAGAAACTCTGTCTCAAAAACAAAAACAAAAACAAAACAAAACAAAACAAAACAAAAACCCTCAGTTCTATGGGATCTGGAGGGATAGATTAATCGTTAAGATCACTGGCTTTATTTACTGACAACCTGGATTTGATTCCCAGTACTCACGTGCTGGGTAAAAACCATCTGTGTGTAACTCTTGTTCCAGGGGATGCAACACTCTCTTCTAGCCTCCTCGGGGACAAGACACTCTGTGGCGCACAGACATACATGAAGACAACCCCCCCCACTTCATATACAGAAAAAAGTATTTCTTAAAAAATAATTTAAAAATTATCTCTAAGCTGGGTGAAGTTATGTGTGCCTTCAATCCCAGTACTCAGAAGGCAGAGGCAGGTGGATCTCTGTAAATTCAAGGCCAGCCTGGTCTACAGAGGGAGTTCCAGGACAGCCAAGGTTATAAAGGGAGACCCTGTTTTAACAAAACAAACAACAGCAAAAACAATTCTATGAGGACCTTATGATGATAAGCATATTTTATATCTATGTAAAACCAGGTGAAAACAACCTTTTAGTTTTCTATTTTATTTATTTATTTTGCTTTTGCTTTAGACAGAATCTCACTATGTAGCCCTGGCTGTCGTGGAACTCAACGTGTAGACCAGGTTGGCCTCGAACTCACAGAGATCTGCCTGCCTCTCACTGCCTCCTGAGTGCTGGGCGTAAAGGAATGCACCACCAGGCCCAGCTCAAACTTTTTTATTATTAAAAGAAGGAAAAGATCCTGTTGTTGGAGAGATGCTTCGACACTTAAGATCATTGACTGCTCTTGCACAGGGCCCAAGTCCTTTTCCCAGCACCCACACGGCAACTCACGACCCTGTGTAACTTCAATTCCAGGGGACCCGATGCCTTCTTCGGACCTCCCTAGACACCAGGCATGCATGCGGTGTACACACGGACATGCAACAAAAACACCAGTAAATACAAAATAAAAGTAAATAAACTCTTTTTAAATAAAATACATATGAACAGCATAGAGTATATTAGAGAAAGGTTATGTGCTTGGAAAACCTGGGACCCTGAGTTCAAACCTTTGCGAAATTAATCAATAGGTTATCTTTCTAATAACATGTTTCAAGTTCCCAGGGGAAGACAGAACAAAACTGACCTTGAAATTCCAAGCCTAAGTTGAGCTCCTTGCTGCCTTTTAACTTAGGTGGGGCCCACTCAGTTTGCCTCTTTCCTCAGTCTCCTTCCTACGTCTGAGGCTGGGAGCAGCTAGCTATAGCCAAGAGTTTGTCTGAATAAACAGGATTACAGATGTCAAAGTTTGTCAGTCGGGGCTTCTCGCCAGGTGTCTGTGGACCCTCCTGGCCTTGATCTCGAGGTTTTCATGATAGCCAGACATCAATAAAATCTGGCATGTGTATACACACATGCTTTCTTCCTGGGTAGAGAGGTCCACTGCTTCCATTAGGGTTTTCAAAGGAGTCTCTGACCTAAATAAGTGTCCTGATCCCCTTTTCCTCTGTAATTAATTACAGCGTGTTTACGGAGCCTTCACGGTGGAATCTGTTATTAGCGGCACGGCTAACTTCCCCTTCTCTGCTAACCTCAGCCCTGTTCAGAGGGCTTACAGGGCTTGGGTTTATAGGAGTTTGCATTTCACTTCATAGGAAGAAGTGGGTGAGAGGACCCTGCCACCAGAGACGCCTGCTTACAAGCCTGAGATCATCTCTGGGGGAATCTAAGCCTAAGGGTCCTCCCGCAGGCCAGCAGGACGGAGCGAGGCTGAAGGCCCCAGTATGCAGTGGGTCTGCTTTCCGCTCGACTGATATCTAACATATGGCAATGTGCACTGATGCTTGTGAAGGTGATGACTCATTCTTAATCCTTAAAAAAAAAAAAGTCAGCCCTATGTGGCTTTGGCTCTCCTCCCCGAGTGCCCTTCTGTTCTCCAGAATGTCTGTGTTGTCACCTGCCACTGCCTTGTGTGTGTCACTTGCTCCTTGGCATTACCTCTCCCGCAGGCTCCTGGCTGGGTTGGCAGCACGGTCTCCTTTACCCATTGCTCATTCCTCTGCTTCTCCTTGCTGCTTTGTTGTGCTTCGTTTGGTTTAGAAACAAGTTTCACATTGTAGCCCAGGTTAATCTGAGCTCACTCTGTACCTTAGGCTGACCCAGAACACGTGAGAGTCCTCCTGCCTCTCCCTCTGTGTGCTGAGACGACAGGCATGAGCCACTACACCTGAATTTGTCTGTTCTGCTCTTCCTTTTCACGTATGTCCCCTAGCCTCTCCTCACACCTCTTCTACAGTTCAGCAGGTAAAGGTGCTTGCCATGTAGAATGAGGAACTGAATTCAACACCTGGGACCCACAAAGAGGAGAGAACCTGCTCCTCCAGGTTGTCCTTTAACCTTCACGCGATGGCTGGGCACTCGAATAAACACACACACACACACATGATTTTAAATTTTGAAAGAAAGGTAATTGTCTTCATTGTCAGCTTAGAATCACCTCAGACATGTACGTGTGTGTTTTCAGAGATGTTTGACTGAGGAGAGGACGCACCTCGAATGCTCATGGAAGGACCCCATAGTGTTCCAGGCTGAGTAAGAAAGGAAGAAGCAGGAAAGACACTCAGATTAGA